CAAAAAAAAAAACCGTTCCGGTTTCTTTCCACCCTCTGGGAGCCGGGGGGAGGGGCGCTCGGGTCCCGCCGGGCCGGGGCTTGTATCTTACCCCCTTCGCAAGCTGCTGGGTTCTTGCATGTGTGGATGTGGTCTGGATGTTGTCCTGTGTCCTCTGGTCTCTATTTTAGAAAGAGTTTTGTTTGTTATATTTTCATAGCTCTATGTGTTTTTGGGAGGAGATTTCCACTGCTCTAGTCATGCCGCCATCTTGGCTCTGCCTCTCAAGAGTTTTGATATACATTGAATTGAAATTCTCTGTCAAAACTTAACGAAGTGCACATATTCAGGGGGTAACTGTAGATTTTTAGCTAATAGTTTACAATAATTCAATTTTTTTTGTCCACAAAATTTTAGTTACACAGTTATTTGGAATGATCCTAAGTACACTGATAGTTTATGCTATTAAAATTGTTCTTTATGCATCTATAGTAGTGAAATAAATAATCAGACAATTCGTTAAGAGGATTGAAAGGGGGGTAGTTGCATGCATCTGTTACTGTGATGTTAACAAATTCCTCACATGTATATGTGTAATAATGAGATTGAAGCCTGCACAGCTCATGTTATCATTCCAAAGCTGGGAATACTATCAAGTTATAACAGTAGGTCCAGGTGAGTATCAGACCCAGCCTGTGAGCTATTGGAAGATGCCCTGAGCATGTACCTTATTCCACAGGGATACCTTAGCTACATCAAATAAATTAGCATCTGTCTTAGAAAGAAGGCCTTTCTATTTTATATTTAACCCTGTTAACTCTAAGAACAAGCTTCCAGCCTCTAACCTTCTGGCTTTTTCCAACCACTTGAATCTGCCTTCTCGAAGCAGGTTATATACCTCACACTGTGGGAATGTATATTTTCCAACAGCACAAATTACTGTCTCATTTGGGAGCTATGATTTAGCATTTATTTTCCTGACATTTGATTATTTCTTAACATTTCCTATAAAATTATGTTATTTGTGGTTTCATTGGAGTTTACTTTTTAAGGTTGTAAATTCATTTACATCAGGGATTATGATTTCTCAGAATTTTTAATCCCCATGTTGCATATCAAACTCTAAGTACACATGGGAATTCAATACAAGTTTGTCAAGTTGAAATTCTGAGCTCAATTTAGAAAAGCCAAATTCTGTCTCTTTGCTAAGACATCCAAACACATAACCATGTTTTCTTTTTAGCATCTTATCCCCATTTGGGTCATTTTCTCCCATACATCTCCCTGAACTCACCCTCCACCTGTTACTTCCCTTGCACCTGTAGCTGTGTTACAATATTCACCTGTCTGCTTCTCTAACCCCACCGAAGTTTAAATACTTTTTAAACTTGTTCTGTTTTATTTATCTTGTGTCTCTATAGCCTAGCACACATCAGTTGTTAAAATGAATACTTTTGGAAAGAACAGGAGTGGCTTGAGCCTAATTAGAATAGAAATGTTACAAGGGGGAAATGGAAGATATTTAATGTGCCCGTCCATCCTTGTCTATCAATTTAATAGTTCTTATAACTTGAAACCAATCCATCAGGTTGACAAGTTGACAGGCACTCTCAGTTCATGACAGATTAACTAATTCTTCATCTATTATTTATACTCTGCCTACATCTTAAAAAGCCATTAGTAAAAAACAAAGACCAGAAAAATAACATCATTAAGACGAGGGCTTAGATAGAACTAGAACCATGTAACAGGAAGGGAGAAGGACATCACTGGCCTGGAAACCTAAGTCCCATGAAAGCTCTAGTAATTGAGTATGAAAATTAGCTCTGAGCTTTCTGGATTTCATTGCTAGGAACTGGCTGAGTATGCTACATCCTACCTTCTAGAGACACTGTGTACTGTATAGAATTCCGCTCTCAACAGTGGACTTGGATAAGCATTGGGATGGGACACCTCGGCTTGTAATTGTCAGGAATACAAGATCTAAGGAGTCAGTAAATTCTTCTTTAGCACAAGTGAACAAATGGGGGACATCAGAGTTGTCCAAACAGTTTTATGACATTTACGAATTCCATATTGTTGGTCAATCAGAATTCCTTGAGAGAACAAAAAGAAAAGAAAGCCAGGACCACCCCCAGGGTGGAATAAAAATATAGGAAAACACACAAAGTCCATTCTTTATGGGTGCCCAAAGGCAATAAATATGCATCATTCTCACACCACTTAATTTATGGTTTAGATTTCAGCTTTAAGAATCTAGGGATGAGTGAGAATCATAGGGTGGCTTATATTACTTAGATATTTCTTTACTGTTGAACTGGGCATACTTTATATTGGATACCATGATGCATAAGGGATTTTCTCAGTTAATCTTAGTGAAGTTTACACTATCAGGGTGATTTTAAAGTATTAATTCAGTTTGAGGCTGTTAGCAAGATGTCCAAATTAAGTCACAGTTTAAGCAATTGTCTGATGGATTCAATCCATCCACACTGAGTTAGGATAATTAAGATTTTTTTTCCTGCTAGAAGTTTTTAGTTGTCCTATGTGTTCAGCGATTTATTTCAACTACCGTCTTTATTTTTTTCTCAGTATAGACATTGGCTAAGTCTTTGTAACACAGACAGTTACATATGTTGATGTGATGGATCTGTCCAAAGCCCAACTTTCTGATTAAACAAACCATAGCAACTTGACAAACGATCAGGCAAAGCAGTATGACCAAGTCCTCTCGCTGGCTAGTCATCAACTGAGCTGACACTAGAACCTAGGTTTCTAACTCAGAAATGTCAGTGCCATCTGATGTGGCTCTCCTTGGGAAATAAAAGGGAGCGTCTGTGTCACAGGGTAAACTGTCACCGTCGTCGCACCCTCAGCTGAAAGTATGTGCAAGGCTCAAGACAACTCCCGTCCTGTGGCCAGCCTCTGGAGGGTACGGGGCGCCCTGCGCTCTGGGTCCGGGGGGCAGGAAGTTACCGCACTTCGGGCGCGGGGACGCCCAGACCGGGCGGGCCGGGGGCGGGGTCTCGGGGGAGGCGTCCCCGCGCTGGGCGAGCGGGGAGGAGCGCCGGACAGGCGCGCACTCCTGCGGTGGCGGCCGCGTCCCAGCCGGGGCGCGGCAGGCGCGGCGGGCGCGGGTGGCAGGCCGGGAGGCGGCTCCTCACTGCGCCACCCTGCGGCCCGGCCCCTCCCACCGCACCGCCGCCGCGCGCCCGGCCGTCCGGCCCCACTCGGCGCCGCCTGGAGCCGGCGAGCACAGCGCCCGCGCGAGGCACTTGTCCTCCGAGCAGGCCCCTCCGCCCGGCCCACCCGGCCTCCCGCGCCCTGCGAGCCCCCGCGCACCGCCGCGCCTGGTCATGTCAGCATGGACATCCGGCAGCACGAGTGGCTCTCGGCCTCCCCCCATGAGGGCTTCGAGCAGATGAGGCTCAAAAGCCGCCCCAAGGAGCCCTCGCCGAGCCTGACCCGAGTGGGCGCGAACTTCTACAGCAGCGTCAAGCAGCAGGACTACAGCGCCAGCGTCTGGCTCCGGAGGAAAGACAAGCTGGAGCACGTAAGAGCGGCTCGCCCCGGGGCCTCGGCCCACCCGGCCCGGCCCAGCTGCACGCGCGCCTCCCCCGAGCTGGCCCGAGCGTGCAGGGACCCCGCGGTGGCCCGACCCGGACACAAGGGCGTCCGCGCCCTGCGTCCCACCCGGGCGCCTCCCGCACTTTCCCGTCGCCAAGGACCGGAGAGCAGGGGAGGGGGGCGGGAGGGAGGCTCTTCCCGGGGCCGCCGGGCCCGCACCCCGACCTCCGCGCGGCGCCTCGCGGTAGGGCGGTTTGCACCGTCTCTCGGTGCCTGTGCGGGGCGCGCAAGAAGTGGGACGGCCGCAAGCGCGGCTCCGAGGAACCCGGCGTAGCACAGCAGTGGGCTTTAGAGGGGCGTTTAAGGGGCTCTTCTGGGCTCTTCGAGTCCCTCGAGAAACTACCAAATTGACGAATCCGTGAAGTTGTCGCCGCGCGACCCAGCCCGGGTCCGCGCGCACGCCGTCAGAGTTTTCTGCAGCGTTACCCTCTGGGATGAGCAGCTGCCGATCAGCTCTACTTGTGCCCAACTAGGCGGGGATTTGCGCGTTGCCAGGAGAGAGGCTAGAGCCGGAGCGGGACACCATGCACCCCGGGACCCGCCACTCTGGAGGGTGGGAGCTGCGGGCCGGACCTCCACCCACAGAGCGCGCGCTTCCCCGGAGTGTAATGGGCGTTGGGGCTGGGCCCCTAAAGCCTCCTCCGCTGGAAGGAAAAAGTCCCTCCAAAAAGGCATTTAGTGGATGCACAGTTTAAACCAAATGCTAAAATGAAACTCAGAGAATTATCTCGAGAATGCAGCCCACTAGCTAAGGAGAGGAAGCTGTTTCTTCCCGCGGAGCTGCATAATCCAAATTGAGTCTGTTAATGGAATGTGGAGATTTCCTTGTATTTGGGTCACATCGCATATTATGACAGGAAGATAAGAAGGAGAACTTCTGAAACACAAACACATCGCCTACTGCTGCACCCACCTGACACCCATCAGCCCCCCCATGCGCTTCCTTTCCTCCCGTGCTTTGCAGCAACTACCAGCTTCCCAGGGGAAAATGCTCAAGGAAGTATTTACCTCAAAATCTAAAAGGAAGGTCTATGCCTCTTCTCCGAGAGCCTGATTAAATCCCTGAAAGCTCGAGTTTAAAGCTTTGAGTTAGGGAATAGGTGTGTGTAAAGAACAATTTCCTATTAGCAAAAGGATGCCTCACATCCTTAAGACCAATAAAGTATAACTGAAGGAGATTGCCAGGAGGGCAAGTTGTTTGAAAGGCTGCAGTATCCACTTAATGCAAACTCCAGCATTTGGAGGAATGGGCGGTGATTAGTTTAAAGGGGGCCGATTGCATCTTCCTGTCATTTGGCTCTGGGCTCCTGATGTTATCTGATCTTAGTACCAGGGAGAATGGATTAGCCTTAGAATGGTGGTAGGATGTATCTCATTTCAGTTTCACTCCCAATGTGTGTTCCTTTGCATCTTGTGCTTTTAGCTGATGTTTCCTTTATTCTCTTACTGGAAACCAGTAGTAGTATGACAACCTTCTATGATTTTTGTCTCATTGAGTTCACAGAAGCTCACACCTTCTACTCACATGACTTCTCACTTTAGGTTTTTATTGAAAGTGCCTAGTCCCACCAGGGTGGGCCATGGCAGCCTCGCCTTTCTGGATGATAAAGGATGCTCAGCTCCTCCCGAGGGTTAAAGAGACCAAAGGAAGGAAGATCTGGTGGTATGAAAGCATGTGAGGATGGATACTTTTTTTTTTCTTCAGTCAGGTGATCCAAGAGAGCATTGCATTCATTAAAAAAAAAATCAGTCACCTCATTTGTTATTTAAATCGGTGTAGTATGCTTGTTTGCCTTCTCAAGTACACCACTAGACATATATGCTGTTCTGATATTTTCTTCTACACCTGCTTTCAATTAGGAAGGAGGCTTCTGATGAAATTTTTTGTGACATTGTCTTGCTCCTTTGAAGTATCTATATTTTAATGAAATAATACTTATGATAGTGCTATGAAAAAAGTTAAATGAGCATAAAAACGTCAATTTTATTTGAATTAAAGCTCTGGGTGTTTATAACATATGTGTTGTGTACACTATGATGTTTCAGGTAGTTTGATGTGATTTCTCATTAGATACTTGAAATTTTAAAGCCTGTAACAAATGTAACCTAGTATATGATTACCACACAAAGCATGAAAATTGACTTTATTATAGATGATATTTTGAACATATGTAGCATTTTCTGATTTACATGTTCCAGAGATTAGCATGAGCATGTCATGTGAAATTCAAAGGTGATATATGGTAACTAATGAAAAAACACTTCTTTGATCTGTCTGATCAATGGATGACCACCATGTTTTTAGGCTAAAAAAAATAATGATGATGAAGATCATATGCATAAAAACAGTTTACTGTTACTTTGCTGGTGCTTTAAAAGCCAGTCTAGTATTAAGGGCATAAATAAGTTACAGCTTCAAATGACAGATGTATTGAGTCATTGCAGTAAGGGAATTCCCTGAAATGAAATGTGGCAATGTGTGGACTCTGTCCAGAATTCAGAGGCATTGCTTAGTCAATAACAGGATGTAAAATGACAGCTAAAGAATATACTTCCACCCACTTAGCCGAAAGTGAGAATAATTTCTCTCTCCTTTTCTGGTTTAAAGGCTACAGGAATAATCCCCAGGTTGGACAAGAGAAAAGTGAGCTGAATTGGTCGAGGACTGGAATACTTTCAACCTATCTTTAAGTTTGATTCCTGTCATGGGTCGGTCGATACTTAACATGAACACCATTAAGAAATTCATGTATGTGAGGGAATTCTTCCATTCTTAAGTCATTATTAGAAGGTACAAGGAACTTGTGTTCTCGGCTTTGAAACTCTACTTGGAAATTCCAGGAGAAAGTAAAATTGCTGACCATACATAGAATGTTGTCTTACTGACTACAAACAGTGCTCTTGGTTCTTATTACTGTCTTGCTTCCTGTTCTGCTTCTGAAGGCACTGGGTTTGGGAAATAGTGGAAATCTTTTAGAGTACCCATTCAACGTTTTGACCACCCCAGAAAACAGCGTCCCCTTAGGCTGGCATCTTTGGTGGTATATGCCCAGTTTGCACTTTTTAATTTTTTTACAGAGTGGGAAAGTGGCAGAGGCTGCCCTTGCTCAGTTGCCTGCTCTTATGCCAGTCATGTGTGTAGAAGTTTCCTGATGCCATTTATGGGTATGGGGATACCTTATTTTATCTCCTGCTTATTCAGTTAGATCTTGCCCAAGTGTGGTTAACAATAGGGTTCTGGGTAGAGACCACCTCTTATTAACTCGGTGATCTTAGGCAAAGGACTCAGTCACTATTTCATACATTCACATTCCTCCTTAAAGGGCTCACAGGTTTGCTGGGATGATTTAAAGGGACAAGTCACGTACAGACTGCAGTGACACACAGTCCCCTAATTTGCTCAGTTGCCTGCTCTTATGCCAGTCATGTGTGTAGAAGTTTCCTGATGCCATTTATGGGTATGGGGATACCTTATTTTATCTCCTGCTTATTCAGTTAGATCTTGCCCAAGTGTGGTTAACAATAGGGTTCTGGGTAGAGACCACCTCTTATTAACTCGGTGATCTTAGGCAAAGGACTCAGTCACTATTTCATACATTCACATTCCTCCTTAAAGGGCTCACAGGTTTGCTGGGATGATTTAAAGGGACAAGTCACGTACAGACTGCAGTGACACACAGTCCCCTAATGGCAGGGGCACAACACCACAAAAGGGTCTTTTTACCTCCCGCTTCTCATCTGCGCAGGTTGGCAGATCCTTGGTCCATGTGGGCTGCTGTAACAGACCAGGTGGCTTCTAAACAACAGACATTGCTTTCTTACAGTTCTGAGGTTGGTCAGTCAAGATCACCATGCCAACAGATTCTGTGTCCCGTGAGGGCCACTTCCTGTCTCATTGAGAGCTGTCTTTTTGCTGCATCCCCTAAGGAGACTTCTCTCCTAAGGGCCCTGTCCTGCCCATGAAGGCTCTAGCTTCCTGGCCTAATCACCTCCCAGAGGCCCCATTTCCAACTGCCAGCATACCAGGGGCTGGGCCTCAACCTGTGAATTGTGGGTGAACACAAGCCTCCCGTCTACAGTAGCTGTGGAGTTCCCTTGTCTCAGTCACTGGCCTGAGGGAAGCTCCGTCTGGATAAATGTTCTCATGAACGTCAAGCAGCTAAAGGGAAGCTGGCAAATCATGTTATGTCTCTCAGTGCCTCCACCCAGAAGTGATACATCCATTTGAGTCCTGTTTATTGGCCAAAGAAAGTTTCATGGCCCAGGCTTGCTTCAGAGGAGATGAGGCAAAGGGATGCAACTCAGAAGGAAGAGGAGGAGGACATCTGTGAGCAGTTCCTGAGGACCATCCCAACACATAAAGCACTTAGCACAGTGTGTGGCCTTTATGTGTTCAAGACACAGTACCTATATGGTAATTGCTCTGTAAGTGTGGCCTTGGAGTCTGGGTGCCTACACCCCACCCCGAGAGCTGCCAGCCATCCCATTTGAGAGCCATCCTGCACCCAGAGTGGATGGGCATTTTTTCCAGCAAGGCCAGCTCACCATCTGGGCCTGGTAGGCTGCCTCTTTGCCTGGCTTCCAGTCTGTCCTCTGGTGGCCTGGCTCTGCCCTGGGCTGGTGGACCCTTGTGTGCACCCTGCCCAGCCATTCTGAGTCTGCCTCTGCTAGCAGAGACCAGCTCCTCGCCCCATCCCCAGCCCCTGCTTTCCTTCCCAGCTCTGTGCTGGTGGAATTAACTCAAACTATGTTTCATTTATCTGTGTGATGGCTCAGAAAGCCTATTTACAGTTGAAAGAGAAGGAAGAATAGATAATTTCTAAAGAGTAAAGAACAGACTCTTTAATGTTCACACTTGTAGTGAGCCTTAGTTTCTTGCTCAGGGTAGTTAAATGCCTCACTTAAAAAGAAAAAAATTGTCTCCTA